GGGGAAGAAACAGAGAGACTGGGGGAAAAATAAGTGGGTACAGATAAGAAAAGCCATTCCACCTACATGGACAGCACCACAAAGGTCTTACTAGACTTTTCTAGAGACTGAAAGATAAACCCTCACCTGCCACAGTTCCTCTTCCACACTCTAGCTGTCTATGGGAAAGCTTATTTAGGGGCTAAGTCAATCCTCCATACTATGATGTTTGAAGTATATGTCATTTACTTGTGCTCTCACAGTGATGGAGTTGACCTACCCACATTGTTCCACACAAAAACAGGATGGTAGCCTTATCAAACAACTTTCAAAACACATTTTGCTTTGTTTTTTTCCTCCCCGAACATAGCCTCTCTTCGCGTGTGTCTCAGGTAGAAGGCATGTTCCTAACACCTTGTCTCTAGCAAGTCACTCTGAAAATTAAATCAATTGTCACTTCCTCTTAGTCATGCCAGGATCTTGCAGAAAAGCATTAGAGACTCTCATTCTTCCTCCCAGCCCTCCAAAGAGGGTAGGTGGATGACATCACCACTCCCAGACTTATTCTTCCTTTTCCCCAACGATCATGGGAGTGGAGGTGGAGACAGCAGTTGTCTAAGGAGCAGCTGAAAGAGCTCCCAGAGGCTGTGTTCCGGTGTCTTCGTTTGCTCCCACCCTACTCCTCCTCCTTTGACTCTCAGGCAGCTTCCTCTCTCCACCTGTGTCGGATCCCCTGGAAACAGGGTCTCTGACTGAACTGGAACCTCACTTTGGGGAGGATAGGCTGGTTGGCTAGCAAGCTGTCAGGCTCCAGTCATCTCAGCCTTCCTGTGTTGTGCTTATGAGTACCTCCAGCGTGTCTGATGTTTTATGTAGGTCCCGGGGATTTGAACTCAGGTCCTCACGCTTGCAGAACAAGTGTTCCTTGGCACTGAGTTGTCTCCCTAGCCTGCTTCCTTTTTCAGGGCCCGGGGTCAGGGTCTCAGGTATCCCAGGCTAACCTAGAACTTAATATGGCTGAGGAT